TTCGTGGCGGGCGCAGCACTTTGTGAACCTCGAAGTGCAGATTTCGTAGCAGGCGCAGCACTTGGTGAATCTCCGTGCGCAGATTTCGTGGCAGGCGCAGCGCTTTGTGAACCTCGAAGTGCAGATTTCGTGGCTGGTGAACCTCGATGTGCAGATTTCGTGGCAGGTACAGCACTTGGTGAACCTCGAAGTGTAGATTTCGTGGCAGGCACAGCACTTGGTGAACCTCGATGTGCAGATTTCGAAGCAGGCGCACCCTCGATGTGCAGATTTCGTAGCAGGCACAGCGCGTGGTGAACCTCAAAGGGCAGATTTCGTGGCAGGCACAGCACTTGGTGAACCTCAAAGTGCAGATTTCGTGGCAGGCACAGCACTTGGTGAACCTCGAAGTGCAGATTTCGTGGCAGGCACAGCGCTTGGTGAACCTCAATTTCGTGGCAGGCACAGCGCTTGGTGAACCTCGAGGCGCTAAAAGCTGCAGCATTCGAAGAGCCACACATTTTAACCCATTATCCTAAGAACCCCTATTGTCCTGTTTGTCAAATTTCCAAGTCCACCAGTAAGAGGGTGGCAAGGAAGCCCGACACCCGAGATGATGCCATGATTGATCCTCCCAAAGGACCATTCGAGCAACTGTCAACTGATGACGTGATCATGGCCAAGGGTGATGATTTCGCTGGAAAGGGGACGGGTGGGACTAAGGTTTTCCACATAGTCAGGGACACGTTCTCTGGCGCCAGGATAGCCTATCCTATGGTAAACAGGACAGCTAGCAACCATGCCAAGAACTTTAGACATTTCTTGGGGCTAAGAGCAAACGAATTAGCATCGTGTGTCCTCATTAAAATGGACGAAGCAGGCGAGTTGGAACAAGCCGCTCATGAGGTAGGCTTGCTCCCCGAAGTCTCACTCCCCAATAGATGGCCCCATAACGCCACGTTGGAGCGAGACATTCGTGAGGAAAAAGAATGTTGTCGTGCAGTTCACATGCAATCCGGGTTGCCGTATGAGTTTCACACATACTCGTTCCCATACGCCTGCATGTCGATGTCGTTTGATCGTCCTTCATTGTCAGACCCAGCCAAGTCACAATGGGAGGCCCTAACTAGGTCGAAGTTTGATGGCATTCGCAGATGCTTTGGTCAATTAGTATATTACCGAGATCGCAAGGTAGGCAAGAGGACTCTCGAACCAAACATGTCGCCTGGTCTCTTCATGGGATGGCGCATCGAGTCGGGTTTTCGTTATCGTTATGTAGCCAGAATCATGGATTACATGGATTTTAAAGTTAGTAAGCACCCCAATGTGTTAGATGTGCCCGAGGCAGAAATCTACACAGAGGAGGGACCGCCCATTTTTCCCATGGCTTCAACGAAGTTGAGGCATCTCCATGGTGGTTCGTTAGGCATTTTGGACGACATTGCCAAACTAGACATGCCCGACTATCCCATGAAGGAGGTTCCCTTTGGGGAAGAAGGCGAATGCGCTGCGCCGCCGACGCCCGTGGGGCCTAAGTCCCGAAGTGTGTACATAACACTAGATCGAGTAATCCGATTCAGCGAAACTCCTGGCTGCAAGGCCTGCGAGCGCAAAACTCGTCATCACACCGCAGAATGCCGAAAACGTTTTGCGCGCCTTGTTGAAGAGGAGAAGGCCGAACTTTTGGCCAAGCGAAAGGAAGGAATCACCGCTGAAGAGATTCCCCCTGTAGCTCCAGTAGACCCGCCTCCACCACCACCGGCGGACCCTCCGCCGGAGACACCAGAGGGCGCCAGTGCTACTCCGACGATAATAGCCGGCCTTTCGATAACCCCGCACGCCACATATAGGACCCAACTAGTACAAACTAGACCCGAAAGTGGTGTGCCTGTGTTTGGAATGCCAGCAGTGACCGAAGTCCCACAAGTAGATCAAGTTAAAAAGAAGAGAAGTAGAGGTAAGAAGAGACCACCCAAGTTCAACCGTTGCATGTTCGAGTTTGCGTGTGAGAATCGGATGCATAAAACATTTCTAGAGTTGGGAATCCCACATGTACCCCTGAGCAAGGAACACCTCGACCTGACAAACGCCGACATGCAGGACCAACTCCATAACCATTTGGAAACCTGTGAAGAGGTGCCAGACCTGTGGGCATCAATACCCTGTACATCAGGTTCCCCATGGCAGAGGGTCAACAGGTCCAAAGGAGGTGCACGATTTGCGCGTGTACACGCACAGCAGGTTCGTGAATCCAAGCGTCTTTTCGCAGAGTTAGCGCAGGGATCGTCCTTAACAGGGGGGGCACTGTGACCTTTGAATGGCCAAAGGGCTGCGAAAGTTGGAGCCGCCATGACGTCCAGTTGTTCTTCGGCTCGCATCCACAATTCCAACAAGTCGAATTTGATGGTTGCGCAGTAGGAGTTAGATCCACTAAGGATAGACCCATTAAGAAGACCTGGAGGCTCATGACGACAAGCCAGCGCATCGTAGATGCTTTTTCGCAGCACAAGTGCACGCACTCCCCACACGAACATGATCACGCGGTTGGGTCTCAGACTGCAAAGACCGCCTTTTACCCTCCACAAATGGTAAGCGAAATAGCTAGAGCCTTGTACCCCCAAAGGGCTAATTTAGCTCCAGCCCCAGCCATGCCATGTGTGGTCCCCGCCGCTGCCTCTCAGGCGCGGGAGGAAGAGCACAGGGTGAAAGAGCAATCCTTGAAACACATCTCCGCACTTGCAGGAGCTGATACATTTGCATTGGCCGTCGAAACCGACGAAGTTGCAAACCAGATGGCAGAATGCCTGCTGATGGATTTGGAAACTCTCGTTCGAACTGCATTCGATATTCCTGAAGATCCTGAACATCACGGTAGAGTTCATGCCATGGTAACTAAGTTGCTCTCCAGAGCAGAAATGTTGGCGAACCCTAAAGCCGTTGAGAAAGTTAAGGAAGAAGCAACATCCCGGCGCGCTTGACTTACCTACATTCCGCTGTTGCGAACAACTTCTTCTGAGACCGCTGCCAATGCTCCATGCACCGGTTTTTCCCCACATCACTATGTGGGGTTCTTGTTTTTCGCTCTGCGCCCGCCGCTCCGTGCCGGGACTCCGCCCTCCTCCTCCGCCGCCTCCCGCAACTCATCTTACACAACTCATCACATGCTTGCACCGCGCTTGGTGAACCTGGAGTGTAGATTTTGTGGAGGTCCCGGTCAGGCCCCCTAAACCTAGGTTCCCTGAGCCGAAACCTTATTGAGAAACGATAGCAAACCAAAAGAAAGTGAGAATCATCAAATCGGAACAAACATCATTGCTCGCCCACCCCACGCGTCTTTGCACATGCCCGAAAACTACCAGGCGACCAAGCATACCGCCAACTATTTTTCTTCATTTGTCTCTCTCTCTCCCTCTCTCTATCTCTCTCTCTCCCCGTCTCTCCTCACTCTTGAGCTTTCAAAAACCAGAAAACTGCCAAGACGAGAAACGACACAACACACAGCCACCCGTGGCCTCTCGTTTGAGAGAGTTGTAGTCCCGGCCGCCGTTGTAGTCCTGCATCCGCCCATCCTTAGCACAAAGCATTCCACACAGCTCTCGCGGCGTTGTCCGAACGGCAACGCCAGAAGCAACGAAACGAAAAGAAGAACATAACAAGAAAAACAAGCGCTCATCCTGTCCATGTCCGAGAAATCTTGAGAACTTGATGCCGTCCAAGCGCCTTCCAAAGCTTCAAGGTAGGATAGCCCTGCACATTGTTCTCCTGAAAGATGACAAATGCCGTTTGAAATGCACTCTTCAAACCTTTTTGGCGATATGTGACACCAAAGAGCGCTTTTTTTTCCTCAAAAACAAGACGTTGTAAAGAAAGAACCAAAAAACACGTTTAAAAAACTAGACGACGAGTGGCCCGAAAGCATTTTTCATCACGTAGGAAATCAGAGTGTGAGTTATCTGTTAAGTGTTCAGTGTGAAGTGTTTAAGTCGAGTGAGTTGAGGTAGTGTGTGGGTCTCTCTGTGTGTATCTATGTCCGTGTGTATATGAGTCTCTGTATGTGTGTGTTCGAGTAAGTTGAGGCAGTGCGTGGGTCTCTGTGTGTGATGTGGCCTCCCAAACCCCCCACCGGCGGCCAAGCGGTGACAGCCCAGCTCATCGTCATGAGCATTTGAGCTGCTGGTATGGGGAGAAGCAGCGCGCACGCCTCCAGGAAATCTCACTGAAAAAAACGAGCTGGAATGAAGACAGAAAAGTGCCGAGGCAAGTACGCAACAAGTGTGTCAAAGCAGTGACCTGTCAGAGGAGATGCGTCCATCGATATACGATCAGAGGTAACGTTTCCTTCACTCCAGGACACAGCTTTTCTAGGATGTAGTTAACCAACCACTATGCTTGTCATTGACTAAATGACTGTCTCAAAGAAAAACGCGACAAAGTAGCATGAGGTGACACACAGCAGGCACTGCAGATGTTTTGCGTAGTCTCGCTGTTCGGCTCGCGACCAGTATTGTGGTGAACGAAGTAGCGCGCAGGCCTCCCAAACCCCCCACCGGCGGCCAAGCGGTGACAGCCCAGCTCATGGTCGTGAGCATTTGAGCTGCTGGTAAGGGGAGAGGCAGCGTGCACGGCTGCAGGAAATCTCAGTGAAAAAAGTGAGCTGAATGAAAAAAGAAAATTGCTGAGGCAGCCACGCAAGAAGTGTCTCGAAGCAGTGACCTGTCAGAGGAGATGCGTCTATCGATTTACGATCAGAGGTAACGTTTCCTGCACTGTATGACACAGCTTCTCTAGGATGTAGGTAACCAACCACTATACTAGTCAGTGTATCGCAGTTATTGTCTCAAAGAAAAACGTGACAAAGTAGCACAAGGTGACACAGAGCAGGCACTGCATATGTTTTAGCGTACTCTGGCTGTTCAGCTCGCGACTAGCTTTTTGTGTCTAGTAACCGCCTTGTTGTGCTTCCGCAGAACGACGTCCGCACAAGAGTTGTCAGGAAGAAGTCACGGTATGAGACATGCAGTAGGATTCATGCAGGCCGGCGAAACCTCAACCCGAAGCAGAGCTGGATGGTGTAGGCATCTGTGAAGTTGCGGCTGTTGTTCCTCACCCAGTCCTCCCATCCACTGGACCACTGGACCACTCGCCAAAACTGTTCAGTTTCTCCGTGGGCAACCCAGTCTCTGTCTTCTATGGTCTGGTTTGGCCATCTTTCTTGGAGGAGCTCAGGCAGGTCGTCATGGTAAGTCCTGCTTCCATAGGACCAACAGAGGCACACCTGTATCTTGTTATCATCGGTGACGATGAACCAGCGCGCGTCAACAATCCCAAGGCCCCCTGGCATGATGGCTGGGAAAACAGGCAGACCTACGAGCAAGTGGGCTGCAAATTGGTAAATAGCACATGCATAGCCATAAGAAGGCTCTGTTTGCCTTGTAAAGGTTCATGTGGTAAAAGAATATTGCAAAAGCTTGTGGGGTGCGTTGAGACTTCTTGCAAGTATATTCTTCATTGCTGTTGAGTTGCTTTGGTTTCTGGCCAAGATATTTTGGTAGTTGGCCCAAGTTGTATGGAGACTTCTGCAATCTCACTGTGAGCACCGAAAGGTCAGCCACGGAAAAAGCACAGTCTGTTTGCGCAGAGGCTGCTCTAAAGGTGACATGTGCTTCGTTCGCTCTAGATGTAGTCAAGAACCACTATGCTGGTCATTTTCTAATCGCCTCTCCCAGAGAAAAACGTGCCCAATTGCAGCACCCATTGCATATGTTTTTGCGCGCTCTCTCTCTGCTCAGCTCGCGACCAGCCCTTGTACATGGAAGAGACTCCCCGACATTATGTCTAGTACTTGTTGTGCTTCCGCAAAACGACGTCAAGGAGTTGTGAAGAAGAATTCATGGTATGAGACACGCAGTTGGTTACCATGTGAACATCTAGATGACACCGTGCGTCGGGGAGACTCTCACTGCTTTGTCCTCTCCGGAGACACGGCGGCGGCCATCTGGGCCAACTGGGGGGCGTTGAGGGTGCCATCCATCTGTTGGCGGGATGCGGAGCGGTGGGTCGACGTGAACAAACCTACCAGTCTGGTCGTGGTAGCCGCTGAGTTCGACGCAATCGGGCGGTGTGGTATTCGCGGCGCGGGCCGCTTCCCATGGCCTCCCAAGACGCTGGCATGGTCGACAGACAACGGGATCGGCATCGCGCAGGGTGCAAACGGCATTGAACGGCCGCAGCGAACAAGCCTCGCACCAAGAATGCGCCCACTGCCCACAAAGTTCGCATGGTTGGGCTCCGAGGTCTCGCCCAGGTAAGTTTTCAGCCGCAGTGACCAGCGCAAACGCGGCCCTCTTGGGAAAAGAAAGCTGGCGCTCCTCGCGTGGCACTCCGCGATGGTCCTCGCGCGAATGTAGGCGCAACCAGACCTTGGCCTCCGCGACCCACGCCTCCGCGCAGGGCAGTCATGGCACGGCGGCGGTGTGAGAGGAGTGACGACGATGTATGCTTACAAGTGACTGGCTGCGAGGCACCGGGTCCCAGTTTCCAAGTGTCACTGACAGTGTGCAATCGTGGGCACTGTGGTATTCGTCTTCTGCCCTCGCCCCTCCTCGCCTCCTTGTAGAAGAACCTGGCCAGAAAAACAAGAGGGTTGGCGAGAAACCAATAAGATGTCTCTTG